TTGCACTGTAAAAACTTGTGTTTAAGCCAGCATTAACCTACTACCTATTTTAGTTGACAGTAGTCACCTCAATAGAATAGCATGGGGCTCAACATGGGACACTTGATAAGGTAATTAGATTATTCTGAGCTCTGTACTTCTGTGATAGGTTTTAAAATAATAGGAGCAAATACCTGATGAGGCAAATAGAAGAAAACTCATTCTGCGGCAATGGACAAGACAATACAAGAGAAGGTGTTACGTATCAACTGCAATGAGAAGAAGAAAAAGAAACAATGGCAAACTATGATTTTCTTCAACTCAACTGGCCAACAATTTGGGAGGAAGAAGTTGTACAGATTTCAGGCAGAATAGAAATGGTCAAAATTCTATCAATGCCATCTGCTATTTCCCTGGTGAAAGTAAAATGGACAGGAATAGTTGTCAGGTAATCAGGTGCTGACATGAGGAGCTGAAGGAAGAAACTAATTCCATACCAGAATGGGAAAATTGGAAGACTGTAGAGCATTACTGGTGGTCCAGTGAAGAGACAAGTGGTTCACATCATTGAAGAGGACTCAGCTAACAAACAAGGAACAATTGCACTTCTGTTTTGTTGCATTTGTTACATATGGCTTTTAGTGAGTTTTAAAACAGAGGTTAGCATGTATGAACCCAAAGACCTCCGTGTAGGGACATCTCTAAGGAATGTCAGCTCATGAATTTAAAGCTTAGTTGAAAAATGGATGTCATATGTCTCTAATAATCAGCCATCTAGCTAATCATGAAAACTCTCCACAGGCAGAACAGTCTTTTCTACGTGTTTGTATCTACAATGAAAAAGATACCAGTCCTGTTTGGGGTGCATATACAGTTATAATAACTAACCATAAATAAATGTGATCCTCACCTAGAGCTAGAATAAATTGAAAGCACGTTTATGATAATATGACTATCAGAGATGAGAATATATAAATGATGGGCACAAGTTAGCCCTTCTCTAAAACAGAACATGATTTGATCCTATTGCTGAACCAGTTTATGTATTTATCAAAAAATAAAAGGAATGAAAGTCTTTTCTATTAAAACAGCAGCTTTAATTAAAGATTATTTTCAATGGGGTGTTTTGGGCACAAGTGAGTATATTATTGAATAAGAGAACTGCAAACTTGTGAGGACCATATCTTCACAACTAAATTCAAAATAGAGTGGGGCCCAAGAGATCTGAGTTATCACCTTCTGCCACAGATCCTTTGAGCAACCTTGAGCACTTAACATCACTCTTACCTGTTTAGTGAAGCAAGAAGCACACAGATATAAATGTTTGTTCAGAGAGAAATTTCCTCTGAGAAACATCTTACTTTTGTAATCACAGCCAGAGCACAAGTAATGGCAGAATTATCTCCCATTTTTCCTTTGATGAAGTAAGGCTTAATTTAGAGCTCAGTGTAGGAAATGTGTTTATCCATGTAGAATCAAAGAATCATAAAATCACTGAATAATTCCGGTTGAAAGGGATCTCAGCAAGTCTATAGTCCAAACACTCAAAATGGATTCACCTTTGAGATCAGACTGTGTTATTCAGAGCCTTAGTCAGGGCTTGGAAACCTCAAAGGATGGAGACTGCACAACCTCTGTAGGCAACCACTGCTTGACTGTCCACATGGCAAAAAAAACCCACTTATTAGGTAGAAACCCTTGATAAACAGCTGCTGGTTTTTGTCCACCCACCATGCATCCCCATGTACAGTCTGGCTCTGTCTTCTTGATCTCCATAGGTACTGAGCACTGTGGGAGTGGAAGGCAGCTGCTAGGTTTGCCTGAAACCTTCTTTTGAGCAGGCTGAACCAGCCTTGGTTCCCTAGTCTCTTTTCACAGGTCAGACCCTCCAGCCCCAACCAATTTGGTGGTCCTCTGCTGAACTTGCTCATTATGACTTTCCTGTATTGGGAGACCTAAAACTGGATTAAATATCTAGATATGGTCTCACAAGTAAAAGAGAATTACCATCTACTGCCTGTGCTGCAGTTAGCACAATCCAGGATGCTGATGGCCTTCCTTTCAAGCAGGTCATTCCACTGGCTCATCCTCAATCCTTAACAGTTTGATGCTGCTTAATCAGGCTGTCAGCCTGATCCATCTTCTCATATATGCCAGAATGTATATGCAAAGGTGAAAACAGGTATGCATGTGTAGGTTTAAAAGCACAGGTTTCCATCTTTCTGGTACTTCCAATACTGCCTCTCTCAACAGCATTAGTAGTGCCAGGAGAGGCCTCTGGGATTACACAAGGATAATATGAAACAGTTTCTGCTTGTATATCTTAATTATCTGATATAAGATGGGGTAGAGAGAGTAAATATAAACAGTAGTTCTTAGGCAAGGACAGTAATGCAGCAGCAACAGGATTTCATTATTCCTCTGGCTGGCTACTGATATCATCAGCCAAGCCAGCAGCAAATAAACCAAACATGATTTGGTTGAATCAGTGTTCCTCTTCAGCTGGATGATGGTTTTGTTTAACTTCGCTCTTGACCATTTAACATCTAACTGCTCACCATCAACTCAATCCAGTGGTTGAACATTTTTTGTTCCTCTGGATTAATTAGGTAGAAGTGATCCTATTCTCTTTTACCATACTTCCAATGAACTCAGTTATCAACTGGGCTTGAGGAATTTCTCTTCACCTGTTTAAAGGTTGTATACATTTCTGAGTAGTTAAGATGTTGACTATTGCAAAAATAATAGTAAAAAAAACAGTAAGGGGAATTATAGCTCCATATGAAACTCCAGTTCTCATGCTTGTCTCGTCCATGGACAATGCTGTTGATGTTAACAGAAAAAATAAACAAGGAAGTGAAGATGAGAATAAGAGGAAGAGAATGTTGGGTAGGAATGAGATAAGTATTGAACTACTTCATAAACACATGGGCCATATGGTGCAGACATAAACAGTGTGAGCTTTCTTTACCAACATTATGCAGTCTGTAACCTTCCTTTCAGATAACTCCTCTCTGCCAAATGTTTTTCTTGTCTTTAACACTGCAGACTCTACAGACATGTATGCTTATATATACCAGAGCTAGATTAAGCAGACAAAACTTCTCTAAACTACATCCAATTTCTGCTAAGTACCAGTAACAGCTGTATTGCCTCAAAAAGCAACCAAACAAACAAAACTCTTTTGCCACTTTAAAAAAAATGAAAACATTAACTGTTACTGAACTTAATGCGTAATGTCTATTAAAGATATAGATTTTTTGCATAGGTTTCAATTATACTACAATCATTGCCAGACTTGATGTTTGCCATGGATTGCAACTGTAGGGACACATTAAGATTTTTATCTGGTTTTACTATACCTATGGGTTTGAAAATCCATGCCCAGCTATTTGGCAGCCTATTTTTGATCTCTAGATTTTTGTGGCTAATTTGCTTTAATGGCTTTTGAAGACCCAAGGATTGCAGGAGAGTACTTTCAGAAGCAAATTACATGCCATCTCAGTCACTATGCTGATAAATATATAGATGATGATGTTAAACTATCAAGTATTCTTAATGTAGCAAGCACCTGGTTTTAATTCCATCATCTAATACATCATTTTGTCATTAGCCCATCTTTTACAACTCATTTTAGCAGTATGTACATTGATACTTTGCAAAATTAATGTAATAATCTCAAAATGCTTTGGCTTTTTTTCTTTCTGTTGGCCTGGTTGCATTTTTCCCCAAGAGTTTTGCAGCAGTGCAGACTTCTGCAGGAAAATTTTCTTTTTCAAATGACACCTTCTCCATAAATCAGCCAGTTTCTATTTCAGTCAATGAGTGTTACACCAGTTTGCACAGTACAATGGTCTGCTGCAAAAATGCCTTTCAGGACTGTCTGAGAAAAGTCTTTTGCTTCATTTACTGTGCTAGTAAGAATGAGAGGACAGTTCTAGAGTAGTGCCATGTTGTTACTCTCTCTACAGACAGATTGAATAGATAGATGTCTTCATCCCAAGGCTGGTAGCTGTATGATTGAACACACCATGACCACTGCATAATGAGTCAACATTTTCCCTGCAAACAAGTAAATTTTAGGGATCTAGTGAGGCTTGGTATAGTTTGAACCCTTACAAATCAAAACCACTGTAAAAGTAGAGTTCTGATAGACAGGTTTGGCACTTACACACACCCCAACTTCTTCTATTCATCCTTCTGAGAGCAACCAACAAACTTATCAGTGACTGCAAGGAGGGTAAGAACAATCTGGAAATACCATTAGGATTTACACAACAGTGTCTGTGACATTTTGTCCTGTTGCCTCACTTTCATTTCAGCTGCTGCTCCATTTTGTTTCTAAATCAACAGCATATTGTTTGAAGGATTACTATATCATCTGTTTCCAGGAAACTTTCTGAATTTTACATTACTTTTTATTCCTGCAATGTACCCAATGGGGAGCTGAAGCTGAGCAGCCTCTTCCCTCTCACAGGATATTATGTTAACTACCAAACTGCATGTCCCTGCATGGGACTTTTTCCAGGAAACTTAGGTTCACTAATAATTTGAGGACCCTGTTCGGGTCATACTGGTCTATTTTTATATTATTTATTTTAATTTATTCTATTTTGTATAGATACCTGAGCCTACATGGCATTGCAAATGCCAAACTTCTGATATTGCTCTTTGTGTCCATTTTTTTGAAAGTACTTACTTTATTTTCATATTGTGAAATATTTGTAAGTGGAAGCAGCTGTACCATGTATACTGAATGCTAAGCTCATCCAAACCAGGTTAACCTAAAGGCCAGGTATGCTCTAAAGATATGGTAAATCTGCCCTGTTGTCAAAGTTAAATACACCAAGAATATTCAGGGACAGTCATGCACACTTTATGTTCTGCAATTGCTATTTTAAGACATCTTTCATTCCCTTTTCCCCTCAAAAAATTCAGAGCCAAATCCCATTAATGCCCCAAAGAAATTACAGTAAGATGTAAACATTATTCTCATTTGCAACATATAGAACTTTACTTACTATTTCAGTCATTCCTTTTCCTTTTTGATTAAACTCAGCAGTTGCTCAGCAAAACACTAATTGTAGTTTAAGTCTCTGTTCACCTACACAACAGCTTCTAGAAACTGTACATAGAAACAACCTCACAAAACACTGAGAGCTGATAATAATGTAAATCCATTTACCCTAACAGACATTATATGCTCAGAGGCTGTTACCATGCAACCAAATAAGTGTTGTCAGTTTCTAACCACAATTCCTCATTTATGTTTTCAGCTTTTTTTAGAAGACAGGAAAGGTGCGGTCAAAACTGATCAAACAGCATTTTGCAGAAAAGAGTTCACACATCTGCAAAATGAATTCTCAGTCAATGCATGTTTTCTCTATTCTTTCTAGCACAAGTGCTCAAGACTAAAAAAGCCATTAAAGCCTCTGAAGTCTTAGTAACTTGAATTTTATTTTTTTTTGCTTATGATCATGCACTGTGGTCTAATTTTATACCCAACTGCCTCTCCTCTCCTCCATGCCACCCTGCAGAGGCCACAAACTGTGCACTTTATGTCTGAGGGAGACACCACAGAACTTATTGCAATCAAGAAATTATATTAATTTATATATGACTTACTGTGTACTCTTGTAGACAAAGCCATATTGAACATTCAGAGGTCACTCAAACTCACAATTCTTTGTCAGCTCAAGTCTCATTTCTTTCTTCATAGCCTCTATTATGATGATAGGTAAATATGATAGGCAAATTATGATAGGTAAATCATGCCAGAAGAGAGGAGTATTCCCCTTGGGCATTGAGCAATTACACAGCTTATGTCAGTCAAACATAACTGCTATAAATATATTTTTCCTAATCTCTTGAATCTAGCACTGCTTCCTCACCACTCTTTTCTCTCAAGTCTAAACAAAATCGTGTGATCTCTTCCGTAAAGTACACAGTAACTGAAATTCCCATTGCTATCACATGTCTTAGGATGTATTCCTAAGAGTAGGGAAACATACAGACAATCAGATAATATGGGCAAATGTGTTCTGTTATAAATTTTAAATTATTATCTTATGTATTTTATCAAATTTTTAATCAAATCTAGTTTTATTTTATTTGGCAATGTGAAGCAGGGTAAACTCAGGTTAATCAACCAGTTTTGCATTGTTGAAGAGTAGTGGTCAAGCTGGCTTTGTTCATTAATTTCCATACCTACTTCTGTCAGGGTGGCAAAATTCTCATACACCTACAGAAATGTAGTTTAACTTACTGTTAAAAGTGACCAAAAACTTAGTCACCCAGCTGGAAAGAAACTAGAATTGTGTCTCTTATCAGGCTGATTCTGCCCTGTGATTGTACAGATCTGAATGTTGCTGTCTGACGTTTCAGGAAAGCATGAGAAGAAGAAAAGCTGAACTGCTGAGTTTGCATATTACATGCAGTCAGAGAGGATTCTCTCCCCACAAAACATTCAAGTTAAGAAACAGATGCAAGATATCTCTCAGCAGTGTCAAACAAAATGGGGGAAAAAAGCCCAAACAAACAACTAATTAATGAACCTAGAGCTGAAAGGCTAGCATGCAAATAAACCAAGCACATGGAATTGATGACAGACAAGCTAGATTTGTCTGCTCAGAATGATGCTCCAGGTCTCACCCTACCCTTCCCTCTCCCCCTTTCAGACACATATCAAGTACCTCCAAAAAAATGGACACAAAGTGGAAGGGATGGTGATTGTCTTCAGGGCATTAGCTACACCAGTTATTTTGTCCAGTGGAAAGACTGAGCAACCCATTCCCGCTTTGTTCAGATGCCCAGATTTGTATGACTCCTGTGCAACATAGTTAATTTATTGCCATTTTTCCTAGTACAGAATACCCAGGCTTCACTCAGCCCTATTTCTCCTGCTTTTCTCAGATCTGCTGGCTCACACAATTGGCATTCAAATGCTAGGCCTCTGTTAGCACTGTAAACAGATTTGGCGCTGGTGATGGGTCCTGAGGGCCAGTCTGGAGCCCAGAGCAGGAGCAGTCCTGGGACAGCAAGGCATCCCTCCCTGCAGAGCTCAGCCCCAGGCAGCAGCAGGTACACACCTACCCCTGCCCTGAGCCTGCCAGGGGAGGCAACCTCAGAAACCATTTTACAACTCATTGCATCTTCAATTGCTGCATGTGGGCATAAAAGATACAATGGAAAAACTTACTCATGAGAACCTATCAAGTAATTTTTAACCTCCACAGCCAGTCATTGCTGTGGTAAACAAAATGAGCTGGTAATAGTAACTCACCTTTACTCCTTGCTTTTGATATCAATATTCCATATGACTACTTTCATTTTGGAACAGTATTTATGACTTGCTTGTGATTCACTGCAAACCTGTGCCAGTTCACACCAGAATAGGTGTACTGACCTCAGGGATGATTTTTGCAGTTTGCATTTATGTTTAGATTTATTTTATTTAAATTACATTGATGCCGACCTATTCTTTGCAGCTAGATATAAGCAGATTATTGCGTGGACTCTGTTTACAAAACAAATATATTCACAGTGATAATCTAGGTCATCAATTTTAATCCAACTAATTTCTGGATAGAGCTTCTGATTGGACTACTTTCATGTCTATGAAATAGAAAAGCAGTCTGTAAGAGCTGAACAGAAAATCCACTGTCTCCTTTGATAAATTATTCTAATAGTCCATCAAGCTTGCTTAACAGATATCTCTGTATCTTGGATGAGTTTTCTCCTCTTAGGGAAAGGTAGTGGATCCAGTCTAGTAGAGTGCAGAATGTGGATGATGGCTGGAGCTATTGGAGTGCCTTCTGAAAGGAGGGTGTAGGAGGCTGTGGTTGAATAATCTGGGTGTTTCTCAGTTGTATAATCTGGGTGGTACTCAGTAACTTGAAACTGCAGCAGATTCAACCAGCTTCCTTTTAGTAAGTGGATAACATCTGCCAGGATCCTCTGTTTATAAGTAGCTATATGTGATATGACACAGGGGTCCCTAGCGCTGCAGATGACAATAGGGTAAGCCATAATTATTGTAGGTACAAGTGCAAGCAAGAAGAGCTCCAAGTGGGTGGCTATGGGAAGATATTAAATGGAGTTATACATGCCTATGCATTCTAACCTGCTTTTAGTGTCATATACCTTTGAAATAGGTATTCATGAGCTCCATGCTCTCATCTCTGTGGCAGTCAGAACCACATAAATGTACACTGCCAAACTTCTTTGTTTGGCAGTGTACATTTATATGGTTCTGCAACATGCAAACTTTATCACCATGACACGTGCACTGCCTCTCGAATCGCTGAGCATGGAGGTATCCTGAAATTTATGTTCCCATGAACTCACAGGGTACTGATATCACTGAGAAGTGAAAAAGTGCTGATTTAATTGTCTCTCTTGTGATTTTATTAGAAGAAAAATGGAGAAGTAAAATTGAGGTAGCTCTTCCCCTTTCCATTGCACCCCAAGTGAGATCTGCTTGCAGTCATGCTACAAGTGACTTCGGTTGTGCAGTTCCTGCATATCTATCCACAGGGAAGCAAAAGCCAACAGGAGCCAACTCAGTTGCTGTAACAGCCTCAAGCAGGATCTGACCCTGATTTGGGAACCTAAACACACAAGCAGGACCTTGCTTGTCTTCACAATAGCTAAAAGTGGTACCTCTAAACACCTTGAAATTGTGTCCTCTTAGCCTTCCTTCTGCCTTTCCCTAGGCCCTGATGCGAATACAAAGGCAAATGTATTAAGTTATTGAAAACAGGAAAATTAAACCTAAGAACTATCGATACAAACAACTTTTTCTTTCATTTAAACCACCAGAATATGTTTCACTGGAAAGCAAACACAATACAGAGAACTAGAACAAGACTGCAGATTAAATCCATTTCAAATGTTGATGTCCTTAGTGATTGCACCCTAGTGCATTGATCACTCATGGCATGACATTTATGCAGATTATTTATTGGGCTATGATTTAAGTGGAAGAATCTCTAAGGTGACTGAAGTCAGAAATCTGATATCAAGAACCCCGCCGCTTTGAAACGTCATTAACAATACCAGAATATCTCCATATTGTTCAAAAGCCACTGACAAACTCCTATCACATATAAATAAGTTGCTATGAACTTCTGACTTCAACACTATCTGCAAAATTCCAACTTGTTTAATACCTAGAGGAAGCAGCATGCAGTGTAAACAAAGATGATGTTTGAATATCAATATTTATGAAAATGTAAAACCTGCCAAGCCAAGTCTCAGATCAATGTATTTTTTTTTCTCCCAGCTAAAAAGTAGTTGATATTCAGATTCTGAGTCACAAGTCTCAGATCTCAACCTTGTTCATTTTGGCTTCATGAACAAACAGAAAAAAAATTGCTTTTACCTTCTCTTCCACTATCAGGATAGAGAAAAGAGGAATTAGAATTGGTACTGCCTAGTGGCTTTAAACACAAATATATTGAAACTAATGTTTAGTACATAACTCATTTCAAAATGAAGTAATTCTGGAGAAAGACACTGAAAAGCCAGATAACTGAAGAGATGGACATTCTGAAAGGGTAAAAACCCAATAAGTGTAATAAATAATAAGTGTATTATTGAATTGAAGAACTGTAAAACTTCAAGTGACCCTTTGTGTCCCTACACTCAGCTTTGGTTTCTTCATTTCTTTTCTCTTTCTGCCTCTTTCAAATTTTACTTTCTTTATCACTCAGCCAAACACCTTTCTTTGCTTTCAAGCCATATCTAAAACTCAAACCTCACTGCAGCCTCACTGCCTTACCCAGTTTTTGTTCATGCCTTCCTCTTCCTGAACTTCTTCCATCATCTGTACTGTCTAAAGCTTACCTTTGGAAGACCTGCAGGTTTAGAATCATGCTTAGGGCTTTTTTTTTTATTTTTTATTTTTTGCAAAGCATGGGAGAACAAACCAATTTCTTAACCTTCTGGATGCTCAAGGCTTTTTGTGGAAACATTCTGCTACTCACAGCATCTTCCTGAGATAAGTTGCTGTGCCAGTAAAGAAGGAGGGGAAGTCAACTGGTGCATGTTTTTGCAGGTAAAATATTAATTCATCAGACCAGCTAGTGACCTTTTTTC